TTTTTTTCAATACCTAATTGAAATAATTTTAAAGCTTGTTGATAATTTCCATTTGATTGATGATTTTGTATAGTTTTATTCCATTGAATTGTATTCACATTTGGACGATAAGTTCGTTTAAAAATTAAACTTACTAACATCATCTACAAGAGAGAGAAAAAAAAACTATTTCATGATGATTATCAGAAAGAATTATTAAGATTATGAATTAAAGTATTTGTATTATATCTGTTTTTTTCTTCTAGAAATAACAATAGATTGTAATAAATTATTCTTTGTCATTTCGTTTATTAGTTTGTTATTTAAATAAAATAGAAATAATGAATTTTGAATTATTTATTAGTTAAATAAAGAAGAGTAAAACCTTCTCTAGATAATAATGAATGGAAAAGATCTAACTAATCTATGACGATGAGTTATATATCAAAACAAAAATATAATCTCTCTCTCACTCTCTTGAGTTTATTAGGCAAATATTTTTTTTTTCACATTGTTAAAGCAATCACAAAATATAAAAGCAGACAAAAATGGATCGAATAACATCCTGAAATAATCATTGTACACACATGAAAAGTAAAAAACAAAAAGAAATACTGTTAAAGATATGTTTCTTCAACATTTGTTCCATTTTCATCTGATGTATCACCAATGAATCTAACTGTTGCAATAGCTTCTTTTTTTTCTCCGTGTCTCATACTTGATGTACGCGGTCGTGGTAAAACTGTTAATGATTCTTTATCTTCAAATACATCATCATTATTATGTGCCATTGTATTAATTTGTAATGTTGGTGATGAACCATGTTGTTGTTGTTGATGAACAGTTTTAAAATATGTTCTTGTTGATGTTAATGATACTGGTTTATAATGACGTGGTGATGATGGCGACGGAGTTGATATAGCTGGACCAATTGATGAAGAAATATGTGTTCTTGCTTCATCGATTACTGGTGATAATTCAATATCTTTATTATTACTATTATTACTATTAAAATTTTGATAATCATATCTTGAAGTATTTTCATCAACTACATTAAGTATTGGTCGTTGTTGAGGTGATGCAGGTATAATTTTTATATTTGCATCTATATCATTTTCAGCAAGCGCTAAATAATAAAAAGCAAAACAAGACATGCAAATAGCAACTTATAAATGTTTTCGTTTCTCTTTTTTTTTCTATACACATGAAAGTTTCGATTTGTCTAAACAATATCAATACGAAGGAAAAAAAATTTTATTTTTAATATATACCTGTTGTATCACTTGATCTAGTTCCATGCTGACGATTTTTCATTGAACGTGTTGTTGTTGCTGTTCGTTTTTGTCGTATGACATCAATTGTTGGTGGTAATTCAATTTCAATACCCATTGTATCCTGTTTTTCTGGTCGTTGACTTTCAAATTCATGTAAATATCCCATTGATTCAGTCACCTAATCAATTAAAATTAAATTAAAATATAAACTATAGTTATTAATACTTACTAATATGACATCAGAATACATTTCATATTCTGCGCGTTCTTTTAATAAACGCATACATTCCTTTGCTTCTTTATTCGATGAATTAGATCTATGAGAAAGAAGATTTTTCTATTTGATAATCAAAAAAATTGTTTTTTTTATTACTGAAGATAAAACAATGTTCCTAACATTTCTGACATAATTCGACTTGATACATGAATACGACGACCAGTCGGTGGTAAAGCAGATTTTGATTTTACTGGTATCTCACCATTAAATGAAAAACCTTGACCAAGTAATCTATTTATAGATAAATAAAGATTACTCAATGAATTTAAAATAGGATTTCTTACTTTTTTGACATTTGAATATATGATTGATGAGAATATTTATCCATAAAACATACATTGATACCATATTGAATAAGAAGAAACCAGAGAATTTGTTCTCTGAAGAAGAAAACAATTTTGTTTTATTTCTATCTTTTAAATTAGTTAAAATAAGTTAAAGTGTAAGATTCAACACACAAATAAAACCTTATCCCATATTTTTAAAGTTAGATGTATGTCAAAATATCGAGCAGTTATTTATTTTGCCGTCAGTAGAAAAATACATATTTTATGAAAACAAACCCCTTAGAAATGATCATTAGTCTTGAACTACTGAAAATAGTAATTATGATGAAGATTTGATTTTTCCTTTTTTCTTCTTCTTCTAACATACCTCGTTGATCCATTAACAGAATCAAATGGAGTAAATGATTGTAAACGTATAACATCACATTTAGTTTCATGTTTTGATATCGCATGTTGAGTTAAAGGTGTTGGTGCATAATGATCCTATATTAAATATAAAACAAATAATATAAAATCAAAATTTCCAGATGTTCTATTCAATAGTAGAACTTAATATGAGTAATAGAAACATAAAAGAATTAGTTCCTTCGAGAGTTATCTGGATTTTATTCAATGTTATTTCTTGAGAGAAAGATTAAAAAGACAAATCTTTTAATCACTAGAGTATACACATACAGAGAAAAAAAAAAATCTCGTCAATTTGAAATTTAATCAAATCTTCTTTATCATCTCATTTATTACTTTAAACAACCATATTATTCGAAATGGACTTTCTCACTAAATCCTTGCATGCTTATTAATATCTTGTGTTGGTGATAGGTCGTCATATCAGATTTCTTGAACTCTAACTTTGATTAAAATTTCATAGCCATTATTATGGCTCTTGTTCATAGAATTATCAAACATTAATAAATCCTTCTTACTGTAGAAATCTTTTTTTTTAAAGACATATGATATGTCTGTTAAATAGATCAATATGTGTTTTTATATCAATTATAAATTATTTTTTTTATCAACGTTGATTTTTGATTTTTTTTCTTTTTTTCGTTATTCTATACTATTTATTTGTATATTGTTCAATCACTTAGACATTTGATTTTTTATAGTTTTTAATTATTTTTTCTTTTTCGTTTTTATAAAGCATTTTGTGGCTCGCGCTTTTTTTATTTTCTTTTTTTTTGTGTGTGCTTTGAGAAGAAGAGATTTTATTCCCATAAATTTCTATTGTTAATTGATTTTTTTATATTTGCTGAAAATAAAATATGAGATTATTTATGATCAAAATTCATGTAGCTTTTATCAAAATAAATCGAAAGACTTACAGGATTTGGTGTATGATAAATAGATGGAACAGTTAGATTTGGAATACCTATTAACAAAATTATAGTGAGATATACCGGGAAAGAATACAAAAAGCTTTTTGATTTTAAGAAAAAAATATACTTACGAAATTCATGGACTTTTTCATTATGTCCATCATCTGTTACTCCCTATAGAATAAAACAAAAAATCAATATTTCTTTTTTCAATTTAATTATTTATTAGAAAAAGAAATATATTAGACTATTAGGATTAATAAAATCGTTGTTAGTGACTTCGATTAGCTATTCAGTAGTAGAGCTACTGATACAGAGTAGTATATGACAACTGTTATCAATAGCGAACTACCGATTAGATAAAGTCTTCATTAGTTTTTATGTATATATATATTATTATACTTACTAGATTGTAAAGACTGACAAGGAAAGTATCAATTGTTGAACAAACATCCTACAAGCAAAGAGTAAGACACATCGAATGATGAGGAAAAGAATGAAGAAGCGACGTGCTTTACTCTCTCTTTTTTTTAATAACGATAATCAAGCGGTAAGAGAAAAAAAACCTAGAGGAAAAAAAATGAGAATGAAAGAAAGAAAAGAAAAGAAAAGAAAGCCGCTCATCTCTACTATTGCAGCCTGATTATTCACGCTAGGATGCTGTCAAAAAAAGAGGAGCGACAATGGTAATGCTGATGATGATGATGATGATGATGCTGTGGCTGTCGACTTCAGGCAAAGACGCATTATGAATTTAGCCTATCTGTGCGTGTGTTCATGATGATGATGAAAAGCAAAATTAGCTTTGTTTGACATGTTTCAAATTTGACTCTTTATCTTTCTTGTCTCTTTCATTTCCGCTTTCACCTCATTGTTCTCTTAATAAAAAAAAAACTTTTTAACATATTATCATCGCACGATGAATTTTCATCTTCTCGATTTTTTTTTTATCTTGTCATGTCTTACTTAGACTGTTTATTATTACTCTAACAACTATATCTACATTTTTTTTTAATTAAATTTAAAGATCGGAAGCTTCATCCAAGATCCGCGCTTCAGGCCCAGATTTGCTTTTTATTTAATGAGAAAATTTGAAAAGAAGAAGAAGAAGAAGAAAAAAAACTCATCTTCAAGACCTTGTCTGTCTACTTATAAGACCTATGGCATGCACTTGCACACGATCTATATCTCATCTTCTATTTTCTCTCAATTCATGTAAAAGGTTTCCTGTTCTTCTCTTATATATATATATACTGATGAAAAGGATGTATATATACAATCTAGTCATTAGAATGAGCGAACAATGATAATTAACTAGTAGCATGGTACTCGAACTCGCGTTTTTTTACCTTAGTCATAGCATCAACTGACTCTGAATGACGACGATTATGATGATAAAGAACATCATAATAAGCTATGACGAATGATGGAAGGAATTGAAGTACGAATGGTCGATGTTGTACATCATGATAAAGTGAAAAAAGATGATCACAAATTGTTGATGCATACTAGAGATAAATAACAATATTATATCATATATATATAATATATCTATTCATACGTACTTCCGAATATTCCGTAGTAATAGCTGAATGTATTTCAGCATTAAGCTTTGGATTGTGATTTAAACTTGATTGTAATTTCCCATCCTAGAAAAGAAAGGAAAAACTAAATACGAATGCTTTTCACAACTTTTCCCTTTTTTTTCTTCTTCTTCTTTTTCTCTTTCGACTTCCGATGTATTCTCTCTATTCAAATATAGACATACTACTGCATACATATATAAACGATGAGAGAGATAAAAAAAAAGAAGAAGAAGTAGAAGTAGAAGGTGAAAGTTAGTCGTGCGAACAAACTACTTTCTTTCTCTCATTTCTTTGTTCTTTATGTGAGTATCACCTGTCGGAAACAGTATGTGTGTGCGCGCGAGCATAATCTTTGTCGCTTTACTCAGCATGTCTATCTCATTCAAGTTTTAATCTTTTGACTGACAAGCAAGATGTCTTTTCTTTCTTCTTTCAACATGGAAGTTTTCAGGCATTTCTTTTTTTCTCTCTCCCTCTCTATATATAATGTATATAGGTTATACTCTTTTAGTCTTGAAATAATTAATAAATGAATGAAAGCAAGCGAAACAATGACGATTGTGAACAATTCTTTCATAATTAATTTGAATTGTTCATGCAAAGATATCAACTAAAATGTGCAATCAAGTACGAAAAGAAAAAAAAAGAGGAGATGTCCAAATGACATATGTCGGAAATATATGGTTCATCATTTGTCGTGTGTCTTTTCATGTTTTAAAATCAGACAAAAAGAATATTGTTGTTTAGAAGGCATAAAATATATATAAGACTAGATGGAAGATTTACATTTTTTTCAACGGAAGACAAAAGCAAAATGAGGAAGAGAAGAATACGAAGGAGGAGAAGGAAAAGATCAACTCTCGCTTTTGCCTTCTTAGAGTACTCGTTTTTCATGATTAATATACAAAGATGCACATTTAATACGGAAGAAAAAAAAAGTGAGAAAAAACGAGCAGCAAAAAAAAAAACTACTGATGTTCCTTTGGTAATACTGTCAGAAGCAGAAAATCGAGAAAAGATTATAAATCACACACGATATTTTTTAACTATTAACACGCAATTCTATTCATGTGCTATAAGCACACAAGAATCTTTAGCAATTTTGAAATATTAGCTTCATTAGCACCTCATTTATCCCGTTAAGGAAGAGCAAATAATCTAAGACGTGTTAAAAGATCATTAGACAAAAAAAAATTCATACTTTGAATGAAGCAAACCAATTATTAATATGTTTAAAATTACTGGATACTGATCCATTGGAATGAATATTATCATTAATACGATTCGTTGTTGCCATATTTTATCACAAACTAAATAAATAGAATTGATAAGAAAATAATAAATAAATAAAATTTGTTTATACTTTTTAATAAATTTTACTAAAATATTGAATTAACATAGAGATTAAAATTTTATCAAACATATATGACAAAAAAAAGTAATCTAAAATATTTCAAATATGATATTTTGTAAATTTATATAAGGTAGCAGTAAAATTCATTTCCTGGAAAAAAATTAAATGTATAATGATCTTAAAAAAATATAGGAAAGAAGAAAAAAAAAATAAATATGCCTATGCTATTAGATTTAATGAAGAACAAAAATAAAGTAAGTAGTTGATAATAATTTATGATTGGTTTACAATTTCACCAAAGACAGTTTTTCATAAACTTCTTCGAGATCAATGTAGGAGGTCGCTATTTTCCATGAAAATTATTCTTTCTTTTGTCTATAGTATATAACGTCAAACTTAAAATTCATTTAATATTTACTTTAACAATAATTAAATCTAATTTTATATTTCACGTCCGAAGAGAACGTTTCAAATACATCTTTGATGTTCATTGAATAAGTAAAATTGGTTTTTAATCCATTGATCTTTAACATCGTTACAAAGTTTTTAAATAGCAACAACTAATAATCTTATCGTCAGTTTATTAGAAAATGCATCTTATAAATATAATAAATATTTTTAAGAGCATTACAGACAGATTCTTCTCTTTATTATATTAAAAATAATTTGAAATTAAAAGGTACACTGTTGAAAGCTCAGTGAAAGAATAGATTCTACCATACATAAAACGATATCAATCTTCGGCATAAGCAGACATCATCTGTCATGAATTCGTCCTAAATCATAGCAATGATTTTGAGCTTTTTTTTTATAAAATTTCACACCTATATTTCGGAGTTCTACAAAAATTAATAATAGGCTAATTTAGATGAAGAAAAAAAACTCGTTTTTACAATTCTATAAGTCTGTGACTAATTATGTCCTAAGGTAATTAACTCACCAGATAAATCCAATAATAGAACTGTTAAGATATGAATTTAATTCCCTAGAATTTTTTTTTATTAATTTCTTCATATTAAAAAGCAAGAATATGAATCAATTGTAATATTTTTTGCTTATTATATTCATTCCGTTTTTCTCTTTAGTTTAACAATTAAATAAAAAAAAACAAAAAACTCGATTATCGTTCACCGGATTTACGAGAAACCATACACACACCGATATCGCATTCTATACTCAGTTATACAAAGATAATCGAATATGAAATTTCAATACAGAGTAAAATAAACAAAGAAGAAAAAAAAAGACCACTCGAGAAGAAATCACAATATGCTTATGCTTTTTTATATGTAACTGCACACATCACATAATATATTCAAAAAAAAATAGATGTGAAAAAATAGAATAAAAGAATATATTTTCCAAATAAAAGTTCATCTATTTAAAGACAAGAATTACGTTTTGATGATAAACTATTTACTCCAATAGTTAAATTACCATTTGATACTTCAAGACCAGCATTAGCAAGCCTTAGATGATGTGAATTTGTTATTTGTCGATTATTCATATTTGCTAATGAACGAATAAGTTTATTATTTTTTAATTGTCTTATAGTAACTGTTGTTTTGGTTGAATCACCACTTGGTGTTGGTGCAGAAAATATATTTGAACTAGCTATACTTGAACGACGTGGATGACAACATCCAAAATATCGACTAAGTGTTTTTTGAAATGCTATACGAAAATCTTTATTATGAAAAGCATATAAAAATCTAAAAGACACAAAAAAAAAAAACAAATCAATTTTTATTCAAAAATATTGTTTAACTTACGGATTAATCATTGAATTAAAATAGCCAACCCAAAAAACGATATCTGCAAGAAGTGGCGCAATTTTCCAATTACAACGATTTGGTTCACATGCTGTATAACGAACAAAAAACGGAAGCCAACATATTACAAAAGCAACCATAATTGAACCTAAAGTTTTAACAGCACGACGTTCACGTCTTAAATGTTTCATTTGACTATTACGTGAATCAAGTAAACTACCAGGTAAATCAACAGATGTTTTTCGATCAATTTCTTTATCAAGACTATCTTGTTTTTTTTGACGACGAAATTTTTTTGTATGTCCATTACTTGTAATTGCTACTGTTAATTGTTTAGAAATATGTGATTGTTGTGCTGGATCAATAACTGTTTGATCCGAACTAGATTGTCGATGTGTTGTATTATAGAGTAATTGAGATGTATGTCGACGTTGTGCTACCCCACCCATTATTTGATATGCTTCACGTTCTTTTTTATCAGCTATTCGTATTAACATAGCATACATTATAATCATAATAGCACCGGGAACCCAAAATGAAAATGAAGATGATACAATAGCATATCCTTGATTAACACTAAATATACAACGACCATGAACATGTTTTAAACAATCGATTTTATGTCGTTGTTCACGTGTTGTATATAAACCGGTAAATATTGGTATAAACGAAAGTAATGCTGATAAAAACCAACAGAAAAAAATCATTATATAACGACGTCGTTCAGATGATGTACGTTCATGTTCAAATGGACGCACAATAGATAAATAACGATCAAGAGATATACAAGCTAAATGTATGATTGATGCTGTGGAAAATAAAACATCACATGAAAACCATAAACGACACATAAGCTAAAATAATTAAAAAAACAATGAGATTGTCATTACGAGAATTTTATGAATTGAAATATCTATTCTACAATCAAATGTTGACTTATTAGAATGGCAAAAGAAATATTTGTTATTGACCTTTTTTTCTTTTTATAACGAAAAGTATTTTGTTTTACTCATATATGCACATGTAGGTATCGTCAATAAAATGGTAAATATCTGTTTTTTTGTAATCGAAATGAAAATTGCACATAGAATAAACTTACGGGTCCAAACAACCATCGTCCATAGAGTAATTGTAATCCATAAAAAGTCATTGCCAATGTACTAACACCAACATCAGCAACTGCAAGAGAGGCAAGAAAAACATTGCCTGTAATACGTAATGAATGATAATGTTTAATAACATAAATGACAAGAGAATTTCCACATATAGCACAAATTGTTATCGGAACAACAAGTGCACCAGCAAATGCTCGGTAGCCAACAGAAAAATAATATAATGTCTCATCTTTTATTTCCGCTGTACAATTGTTTGTTGTTGTTTGATTATCTGTCTGTTGTACGGTTATTGTACTGTTCAAATATGAAGAAATACTGGTTGAATTTTCAGGAGCTGCATCAACAATCAGCACCAATTTGAATTGAACAATTAAAATAAGAGTTACAAGACAGATGAATGTCAACAATCGACTGATGTCAATATAAATACCGAGAAAACAAATAATCATGTGAAAATAAAACACTAATACGAATGATAATTAACGAATTTTCAGCGACACAAATAAAATCGCATTGATTAAATCAAAAAGTCTACTCTAAAAAGAAATACGAATATATATATATATATATATATGTGTGTATAGAATAAAACAGATTCAATTAATGATCTATGTATCTATTTAAAACTCAAGATTATCATAAATAGATAAGAAAGAAAGACGATAGATATCAGTTATTCTTTTACAGTTAACAAAATGATGGCTATATAAATTAATCAATAGAATGCAAACGAAATACATTTAAAGTATACTTGATTCTCTGTTATTTTTAAAAGGAAAGAAAATTATATTTACTTTGTTGAATAAATTTAAGTTATTTTTTATTATAAAGGTCACGTTAGCAATTATAACTCATGTATATATATATATAGATAACTGTAATTTCCGGACGAAATAAACGACGACAATAAGAGAAAAATAGAAATCATAATTATTCATCAATATATTTTTATTATCATCGTACAAACAATATGACATATTGATGTTCGGTTTTCTTTGTCAAAAAATTGTTTTTCTTCCTTTTCTTTTTTCTTCTTTCTTATCCCCAAAACAGCCGCATATATACAATCTCATAGTCCATCATGATGCTTTACCAACATCAGTTTTGTTTTTCAAAATAAATACTCTTCAATCGATATTATATACTTCTTTTCTTTCATTTTTCTTTTTACTTCTATCGATCTACACGCGCGCTATTTATAAATAGACACATACCTATTGACTGTCACCAAACTATTCTCTTATCATAACATTCTTTGTTATTAAATCATTACAGTTGCAATAAAACCATTTTTTATTAACTAGGATATTTTTAATAACTCCTATTTGATAATATTATCGAACTTTACGAATGAATGTATACATACCAGACACAAAAAAAAACCCATTCATTTATAGGAGAAAATAGTTAATTAAGAGTTATGCTCAATCACTAGTAGTCAATCAGTGAAAAGAACAACGTTGCTAATAATCATAACCAAATGATAATATGCACGCCTACATACTATTTTGAAAAGGTATGGATACTCTCGTTTGATATTGTCAAAATTAATTGAAAAAAAATATCTAATGTATAAGACAGAACGAATAATAATTCTATGGTGTACCGTGACTTTTCTTGTCTATTTTCATCGTTATATAGTTAACAACATATCATCAAACTTACTGCATATAATACTATATCAATGAAACTATCATCTGTTGTTAAAGAATTTCAACAATTGCTAAGAATGACATCTTGTCATTATTAACATCCCATAGCATAATATGGTATCATTTACGAAAGTAATCAGATGTCTTTTTTTTGAAATCGAAAAAGAATAAATAATCTAAAGACAGAAACATAAACGGGGAAGATTTACTATAAAATTCAAAAAAAAAATAAATAAATAAAATAAACGAGTATAGTAGAGAGAAAGTGTAAAAAAAGAAAAGAGTAAAAAATAGTGCCGATTAATTCTCTTTTCTCGTTTTCTCCAATCACACGAGTCTTGCGCATCGATGCGTTTTTCCTATTTCTTACACATCAATAACAACATCAGCAATCGTAGTAGCGAAAAAACCGATAATCATCACTTGTACCATTTTTCTGGTCGCACGATTAGCGTCAATTTATGCTTTCACACAAGAGATCCACTAAATATAGATAATATTAATCGTAGAAAAGAAATCATTACATCTGTTAAATATCAAGTATTATATTGAAGACATAACTATCAAAATCAGACTCAATCTGTCCAAATAAAAAAAACTGACTCTATGTACAAATATTGAATAGTAAATTATCGAAAAAGACTTAGTATTAACAATTGTTTGTTTTTAAGTTTCTCCTGTGGATGATTATTATAAATATTAATATGTTATAAAATATTAATAGATTATAAAAAAATATTTGCTGTTGTTAAGAAATTCCCTATCGTAGAGAAGAGCATACAAGCAAAAAAAAGAAAAGTATTCATCATTATGTTTTTCTTACTATTTCTATCAATAAATATATTTCTTTGCAAGAATAAATCATATAAATCCGTTCTATCTCTATCCTATTTTTTATTTTCTAAAGAAAATTGATCGATCATTTTTTTTTTCAGAGTTTTCCTTGAAAAATATAGGGTCGCACACAACGTTGGTTTATCTATTCTAGCGCTAAGTTAATAAATAAATAGTTGAAAAGAATTATTTTATACCAATTTTATTAGTTTTATTTGATAAAATGTCACACATATTTATGAGAAAAAAATATGATCGATTTTTAATATAATGATAAATATGTCATGAAATGAAGCAAGTAATAATTATGAAAAAATACAAAAAAAAACATTGACACAAACTTTTATATATAAACAAGAATATAAACTACTCACTTAGTTTGCTAGTTTTTTTTCTCTTCTTGTTCTTGTTCTTTTCTAACGCATTCTTAACATAAAATTTCTGATGATAATGAAAACAACGGACTGATGACAACTATACTTAGAATATCTTGACAATTGACTATGTTGTTTTCTAATTATTTTGAAAAAAACAGACGAATAAACGCAATTCTATATTAACGATTAACCTTTACGATAATATACTAACTAACGCACATTATCTATGTATTCGCATGTTTTGTCGTTTACTTGAATCCCAAAATGAGATATGTACCCTCGTTTACTTTGATTGATACGTAGAGAACAAACAAAAAAAGCTGGATATACGACAAACTTCCTCTACAATTTATCACAAATATACTGACGTTCCATATTGTATATGGTATATCAGTGTCTTATTTTATCTCACCCGTTCTATTTCTTGATATCATGATGTATATATGATGTTGTGTCATTGATAAGTCAATCAATCATTGAGTTTGTTATCGTTAAAAATAAGTTAATCATTGATGTGTTAGATCAATTCTGTGCATATATAAAGAAATACGATATTCATGTGTATGTACTAAGACTTAGGAAAATAAAGTAATAAAAAAAATAAAGAACATATGGCTAGTTGCCAATATTTCTGCCTTTCTTACTTTTTTAATTAATTATGAAACTCAAACGCATGAGTGAATTCACGTTTATATATATATATATATACATATATACACACACAAGTGCATCTTGTCAACAATACCGTACTGATAACAAAGATAGAGATAGAATAAAGAAGTCATCTATAAATAGAAAACGAGAGAGAGAGAGAAAGAACGACAAACGATGAGAATGCGATATCGATAAGGTAAATATTGTTTTCTTCTCTTTCTTTCTTTCTATATACAGAATTTATCGTCATCGTCTTTGATAATCGACCCTCGAGAACAACACGAGACATCTAGTCCAAAAAAAATCTCTTTATATATATATGACGTCATGTAATGAATGTATATCGGATGTGAGCTTATGTACATAAACATTCGATATATGAAATAAGGAGAAAAGTTGAGTTAGATGATAGAGAAATAATGTTTTACCAAAAGTGGATAACCAATCGAATAATAAAAATAAACATAACTAGACATATGAGCAAATCAAGTGATCTTTTCAAGAAACTTATAAAAATTCTCATCGATAAAAGGAAATAGACAGGAACGTTCACATTCACACGCACAAACATATGTCTCTACATAAAACAGAACGTTAAGCATAGAAGAGAGGAAAAAGAAACTAGTAAAATACTAATGTTGATTTTGTTGTTCTATATTTAGACGTATACGAACAATATTTTTACTAAATCAACACAAAGAAGTCATTCTAAAAACGATAGTTTTATATTTTCCTTTTTTTAACATTAATAATGACTGACAAACATCGATACTACTACTAGAAGAAGAAAAAACGAGTGTATAATACCATCGATATACTTAGTGTAGGCATGTGTAAGAAATATGTTTTTTGGACCAGACAAATATAATCGAAAGAAAGTTTTGCATCTAGACGAACAACGTGACGAATAAATATGAATGATAGACAAGTAATAATTGAATTATAAATAAGACTTAAGCTTAGTGTAAATGATTTGATTACGGATTGAACTATTCTCGTCAAAATATTTCTGTTCTAGACATACATATATGAAATCTAACAGAAAAAAAAAAGCGGGAAAAAATAAAGAGAGAGAGAGAAAAATAAAAGGAAGTACAAATAGATTGCAATTATATTTGTCGACAAAATAGTGATGATTGTCTAGTGCAGTCTTTAGTTATGATCTAGAAAGATATATAAATACTATTATATGATAAAATATTTTATTAGACTCGTCAAGATCAACAATAATTTTATATTATTCTAACTTTATCAATAGAGTATTTACAGATTTTTATGGATTCATAGTACCATATGAATGTAAAAAGAGAGAAAAAAACATCTTTAGATCTCTTGCTTTTGTTTAATAATATTACTAGAGAGTTGATCAAGAATGTTCTCTTTTTTTCTTCATGTATTTAATTCTCGAAAAACGATCCGATTACATGAACAATCTGTTTTCTCTACAATCATCTCTTCTTTCAATTCAAGATTTAATTCTTGACTAAACATGCTCGAACAATTCCACCTACCAGTTACATGATATAGACGTAAATACACTCATACACCTCATGTTGAGCGTTGTGTATGATGTTACGCATAGCTCAACAACAAGATGAAGAAGACGAAGAAACGAGAGAGAGAAAAAACCAAAGTAAAGATTAAAAAAGAAGACAGGAAATTGAATAAATGAATGAATACATAGTATGTTGAGAACAGATTTAGCTCAACACGACCAAGACGACGTATCTCATCAATCTCGAAGTCCTAATATCCTGTTCATTATAATATTTAAATAAATGAATATAAGAAGAAGAAGAAAAAATCCATAAAGTATTAGAAGAGTATTATTTTCCTCTAATACAACAATAAATATATACTAAATTCAAGATACTCAAGAAGTATTTATGCACTCAGTGTACTAACAAAACGATACTCAGGGTTAAAAAACTCAATGATTTACAAATAGTAAGACAGATGTTACACTATTACTATTATTGATCAATCATTGCTAAAATAAAAAAAAAAAGAATGATCGTTCTATGTTTAGTGCATGTTCGAAATGAATCAATTACATGATTATTTATCTAACCTAATCGATTATACTTGCTTAATAATTGTAATATAGTCTCCTGAAGTACACTTGACATTCGCTCTTTTACCAATAAACTAGTAAAAACAAAACGAGAGATTTAATCTAAAACAACGAATAATAATTAAATGAATAAAATTTAAAATTCATGATTATTTTCGTTCTAATCTTTTACAAAAACTTTCTTACCCATGAAGAAAAAAATCATATAAAATACAAATCATATGTTCTATACGATCACACAATTAACAATTCCTAAGGGCATTCACTTACTTATCATGCTTTTGTCATTTATATATATATATATATATAGGACTAGTTGTTTTTTTTTTAAAAAACATCCGACTATATATGTTTTTGTCTTTTCTCTTGGTCCGCTAGTCAACGAAACAATATGACAATGAGAATTGATTTACATGAATTTATTTATAAAGAACAACTTTATTTATGATTGTTAGATATGAAGAGAATAAAAATGTTTTTCTCTCGTTTATTTCTACAGTTAATAATCATGCTTATACTGTATTATACTCGATAACATCGTAAACCAAAAATAATGAATCGTAAAGTTGTTATTTACAAACTCCGTAATACATATATATTCAGACAGATTCAGCGTTAAAAATATATGAATAAAAACTAATTTCTTATATTCCAAAAATAAATCTACTTCGAACGATTCGATTGATTACACCGAATAAAACACACGCTGATTCTTCTATAAAGATACAGGGCATGTTGACATTTCTTATTGGAAAAATCAATATAAAAAAGGTCGATAATGAAGAAAAACATATATATATATACGAGAATATAATTTAATTTTCCTTTTTTGGCGAGTTCGATTACCATCATAAAATCTCAAAAAAAACGAGATATAAATAACAATGGTTTAGGATATAAATATACAAAAAGGATTTACAAGCCCTTGATATTTTTTCTCAATCTAATCATAACAAATCTGATATTAGTACATTGACGTGTACAACGAAAATTTGTCTCTATACAGATAAAGTTGATTATGACGGCTGTAGTGAAAAGAAAAACTTCGAAGTAAGTAATTATAGAAAACGATATATTATACCGGTAAATTATAGAATTAGTTATTATGATTGATTTAATAGAAATTTGCGGCATTTTTTATATTAACATACTCAATAGACTAATAATGATCGTAGAATTTTTCGATCGCTTGAGAGTTTTGAGTAAAACGGTATGTCATATTAAATATTCAAGACATGATTTTATATTGAAAGAAAATTTAGAAATTTACCTTTTATATCCGAAAAGAGAATTTCAACGTCAATAGAATTCTTATTTTCATCATATTTATAAATAAATGTCAATTGTAACTAGAACAAAGATGTTATACACTATTTATAGAAACAAAAGTTTCATGAAGTAGATTATTAATATTATATTTCGTCTAGACAAATCAATTCCTATGATTACTTAAGTCACACCATATACACCAATATCAATTTAGACTTACCTGTTGATTCTAAAATTCATATAAATAGAAAAAGGTTTAATCAATATTTTTGTTTTCTAACTAAATCATAATTTTAACGTTAATGCGAACTAACAATTTATATAATAGACTAATATGAGAGTATGAAGACTTTGATTTCCTTTGTATTACGTTTCACTAAATGGGAATAGAATCATATTAATTCACATGATTTCCCATGATATTTTAAGGATTTATGGAAAAAAGATTTTTTTGAAAATATCAATACATTAAACATCTGCTAATAATGATGATGTGTATATATCAATACAAAACTTTCCCTCATTTTTTTTCTTCGTACATATAAAAACGTCATTGAGTAGTCTATAAAACAATTACAACACTCTTCATCATTTTCAAGAGTATTAAAAGAAAACCATCGTTTATATTCTTATCATATCATATTTTCATAGTAAATAGAATACTAAACTATCCCTCTTGCATTTTTTTTCTCTCTAAAGATTTCGATGCTTAACATATAATAAAATTATCTAGTTCTATACTTAAATAAGTTACTTGTAAAGATAAACAAATATTCTCATATATACCTAAAGATTATTTATAGAATAATATATAAAAAAAGAAATAAGTTGTTGTTTTTTTTTTTACAAAAAAATTCTTTTGCTAAGAGGAGTTCTATTAGCATGTACTCCTACGCAAATCATGCGTACATTTAATGGTAAATACGTTTTTCCAATTAAATTTTTTATGTTGACGTGCATATTTGATTCGTTGTTCATCATAATTGGATTTCTCTTCGACGTCGTCATCGTCATCAGAATCTAAAATTGACTTTGTAGTCTTGCACATGATATTTTTACAATTCATTACTACGATAGATAATCGTAATAATTCAATATTCTCATGTTGCTCAACTGATTGTCATGTACTTGAATCATGATATCGAGAAGTTATATATAAATAATGTACAACAGATTATTTTATATCATGACACGTTTTTTTTATGTAACTAAAAGTACATATCTGAACTTCGGATTGCAAAGTATAACAAAAAAAATTGATAGTATTAAATGAATTGTTTATAGTTTAGTTATGAAAACGGTCTGAGCGCGAACGCAGAGACGCTGCTAACAAATTAACCTCTCTCTTCGCCCCGATGTGGGGCGAAAGCAGGATTTAGTTTTCAGCTGAGTGCAATGCCGAAACCTCGTCCTGGATGCTCAGTATCAATGATCACTGAGACAATCAGAGGAAAGTAAGTATGAGTTTATTTATTACTATTCACTTCATTTATATAGATTGTCACACGGCAAAACACGGCGATGAATGAATGAGAGACATATGAGAGAAAGAACAAATTGATGATGACTCATTCTTTAAAAAAACACATGTGAATCATTCCTTTAAAATAAAAGAAAAATAATTAACAAAAATATTTTATGTTCAATTTGAAACTAAAAATTAAAGAGAAAAGATCTACTCAGTTAAATATATATTTGAAACTATTTCAAAAGAAAATTGCCATAATTTTTATTATGTAATAATTAAATATATATCAAACTGTTGTAGAAACTTATTTATTTTGCAATAAATATGATCAGATGATGAACAATTTAGATATCGAATAAAAAAAGAAACAGTTAATTGAATTATAATTGAATATATACTTAATATGAAGTGTCGCTGTAACTGCAGTTTGATTGTTTTAATGTTGTTACTGATGGATACTGCTATTCGTGAAGTGTGATATCAGGTCCACCAATCGTAATCTTAGTGGACTATTTTTAGTTTTATTTTATTATCTATGTAGACTTAGATTATATAGAACTGAATCAGTTCAGATGAGAACATGTTAAAGACCTGATGTATCCATATTCAAATTGCTAAAGACTGAACAGTCAAATTTGTGTATTTAAATACATTTTCCAACTTCATTCTTTCCTCGTGTAAAAAAAACATTTTATCTTTTCGTATTCAAATCATAACGCTTTGAGGTTAAGACGACTTTATCCCTATATTCGTATTAAACTCAAAGTTCATTTTGATTTTATTTCATATTTTAGATACTTGAAAAAAAAACATTTAATGTGGTCGTACATAAATTTATTCAGGTATTATTTAGTAACAATTATGGAAATAGTACATGTTTGTATCCAAGCTCTTAGTCATTATATATTTTCAACAACGGAAAAAAATATTCGAAATGAAGTAGTACTTATTACAGGTTCTGGTCGAGGACTAGGTATATCAATCATTATTTAAATCTATTCTTTTTTTATCTTGTATCCATCTATCTAGGCCAACAAATGGCTATTTTATTTGCTAAACGTGGTGCTATTGTTGTTTTATGTGATAGTCCTGATATTGGTAATTCTGAAACATTAGAGTTAATATCTTCAATAAATAATGAAAAACGTGTACATGCTTATACATGTGATATTGGTAATCGAGTTGAAGTTAAATTACTTGTTGAAAGAATTCAAACTGAAGTTGGGAATATTACTATGTTAGTCAATAATGGTTTGTCAAATTTTATAAATTTTTTTTAAATAAATAAATTTATGATTATTTTTAGCAACTGTATTAACATCAAATTCAATTTTAGACATGTCCGAAGATGAATTTTCACGTTCTTTAAATGCAAATTTATTTTCAGCTTATTGGGTAAATTTAATACACATATTATTTAATATATAATTTCTATATAAAAATTTGCAGTTAATTCGTCAAATACTTCCCTCTATGATGAGACGTAATCATGGGCATATAATAACAATGCTTGGTTCAACAGCCGTATTTGGTTTAGGAAATTTTTCCGCTGTATGTACAGCTAAATCTGGTCTTGTTGGTCTTATGGAAAGTATAGATCATGAATTAACATTAGGAGGTTATGATGGTATATATACAACAGCAGCAGTATCTCATTATTTAACAACACATCTATTTCAATTATCTAAAACATGTTTTAATCCAGTTATTCCACCACTTACATTAGATTATGCGGCAAAAAAAATTATGCATGCTATTTTGGTTAGTTTTAAACTTCTTTTTAATACTTATAATGAATTATTTTAAACTTAGATTAATCGAAAATTTGTATGTGTACCACGTCTTTATTATTTAATACCTTTTGTTAAAGGTATTTTACCAGCACGTGCATTTCTTATTATTCTTAATACATTGGTTAATCCAAAAATACCGATTTATACTCAACATGAATTATCTAGTAAACATAATTTAACATCATCGACACAGCATATACCACGAAAACGTAGTCATATGAGTGCTTGTCAATAGATGATTATGTTATTTTCTCTTTATGGAATATAATTCTTTTTATAAACTGTGATAGACTATTTGATAATATTTGTAACTGTCTCGACAAAAAAAAAGAAAAGAGACTTGATTGATATTTTTGTTGTCCGGTGTTTGTTTTTCTTCTTGAAGTATAACGATTGTTTGTAGTTTATGAATTTTGAATGATATATAACATTAAACATCTAGTAAAGATAAATTCTTAATTTAATCAATTCATTCGTAGAAATTAGAAAAAAAATATAAAGAATATTGATTCATTCATAAGGAAATAGTAAACAAAAAATAGCATCATGTATTATTTATATTTTAGAATTAAATACAACAAGTTAATGCATAGAAAAATCATCGCTATTTGATAAGCTTCTTAAAGAGTTTCTCTTCAGTTCGTTTACTATTTTGATAAGCAATATCTAAGATAAAGTTATATGATAAATTTTTCCGACATAATATGTCTCATCTACAAAGAAGACTTGCTGGTGTACAACTGGACTAACAAATACTATTAAATATAACCAGTGATTTATCTAGAGGAAGGACAGAGATGGGGGCGCCCTCCCGGA